ATATATATATATATATCAAGAAAAATAGTGTGATCCAAATTTATTCTAATTGTGAATTGAACATGAATCACACACTATTTTTCTCAATATACATATATTGTATTTGAGCTCATACTAATTAATAGTTTGCTTGAATTGCAGACGTTTTTAAAAAATTTACGGACGAGACGGGGAATTTGAGGTCTTGTCTTTGTGAGGATACAAAGGGACTACTATATTTGTATGAAGCCTCATATCTTTCAATTGATGGTGAAAGTTTATTAGATGAGGCCAGGGATTTCACAACTAGGAATCTCAAAGAAAACCTCAAGAAGAAGGATATTGATCAAAATCTCGCCATGCTAGTTAGACATTCCTTGGAGCTTCCCCTACATTGGAGGGTGCGAAGGCTAGAGGCAAGATGGTTCATTGATGTGTATGAGAGAAGACGAGATATGAATTCTATATTGCTTGAGCTTGCGCAATTAGATTTCAACATGGTGCAAGCAATTCACCAGCAAGAAGTAAAACAAATGTCAAGGTCAGAAATGTTCCCAATTTTCGTTATGTAGTAAGGGTGCAGCCATATAAGTCACCATATATATATGTATGTATGTTGTATTTCATATACCTTATGTAATGTTCTTTTCCTTGTTATGAATATAGGTGGTGGAGGAGTACATGTTTGGGAAAAAAGTTGAGCTTTGCTAGAGATAGGTTGATGGAGAGTTTTTTATGGCCTCTGGGAATGAATTTTGAGCCTCAATTTGGATACTTTAGGAGAATGTCCACGAAGGTCTGCACACTGATGACAATAATAGATGATGTCTATGATGTGTATGGTTCATTGGAGGAACTTGAACTATTTACCGACGCCGTTGAGAGGTTGGTTGATGGGAAAATGGTTGTGTCAATATCATCTGCATTAATTTGCATGCTTCTTAGCTATATATCTTTAACATGAAACTACTTTTTTCTTTTTAACTTTTAGGTGGGATATCAGTGCAATGGAACAACTTCCAGACTATATGAAGATATGCTTCCTCGTTTTATTCAACTCTACTAATGAAATGGCTTATGATGCACTTAAGTAACAAGGATTGCACATCATTTCACACCTAAAGAAAGTGGTATCATTTTCTTTATGAACTATTTTTTTTTTCCCCCAACTTCGCTGCAAATAAAAAAGGATAAATTATAAACAAACCCCTTAAAATTTACTTAAATTATAAATTACTTCCTGCAGTTTTAAAAATTACATTATGGCCCCTAAAATTTCTAATTTCATAACAAATAAGTCATTTTATTAATAATTCATCAAATTTTATTAATAAATCATCAAGTTAATGAACAGTTTTTAATAATATTAAAATTTTATTTTAATTAATAATTCAGATAATTTTATTATTATATAGGTAAACAGTTAAAATTTTCACTTTTTCAATTAATTCTATTAAATAAAAAATTCTAACAAGAAAATATTTGTAATTTTCCATACCACAGGGAGTAATTCATATTTTAAACAAACCTCAGGGAGTGTATTTGTAATTTATCCAATAAAAAATAAATAAATAAATTACAAAAAAAAAAAAAAAATAGACACAAGGGAGGGTGGGTGGACTTCCCAACACCCTCCATTGTGTCTATTGGCTCACACACTCACCCTTTTGTCTTTTTTTTTTATTTATTTTTTATTTTTTTTAAACTCTTTTCTTTTTTAGATCATATTCAAAGTAAATTTAAATGTCCTTAATTTTTTGTAGTTTCTTCGATTAATTGACCATTCTAAATGCTTTAGTGGGCAGATATTTGTAAATCTTATTTATTGGAGGCAAAGTGGTACTACAACAGATATACACCAACCTTTGAAGAATACATGAACAATGCGTGGATTTCGATATCAGCTCCTCTTATGCTAGTGCATGCTTATTTTTTTGATTCTAAATCAGTAACAAAGGAGGCCTCGGAATGCTTATTAGAAAGTTACCCAAATATAATTCGCTGGTCATCAATTATTTTCCGACTTTCAGATGACTTAGGAACATCATCGGTAAGTGAGTTACACACCCATTGCATCTTCATAAAGAGGTTCGTTAGTGCTGTATGTTTGGATCCCGGGAAAAAATGGAAAGGGAGGGAAGAAGGATGAAGAATATCAATTCTCTTTAAAGCATTGTTCAACAATTTTCCTATGCTATTCAATAATTTTCCTTTCCTATTCAATTATTTTCAATATTCAAACAATGTTGAAGACAATTTCTTGGTTTAAGAATTAAACCAGGTTTGACCACATGTTAATCATTCTCTTTGATACAGGACGAGTTACGAAGAGGCGACGTTCCTAAATCAATCCAATGCTACATGCATGAAACTGGTGCCCCTGAAAACGATGCCCGTGAACACATGAAATACTTGATTGGTGAGACATGGAAAAAGATGAATGAAGATGGAGCTGCAAATTGTCTCTTCACTAAGACTTTTATTGGGAATGCAATGAACCTTGCTAGGATGGCTCAGTGCATGTATCAGTATGGAGATGGGTATGGTGCTCCAGGCAATGAGACTAAATATCGTGCCTTGTCATTAGTAGTCAATCCTGTTCCCCTTATCTCGACAAGGGATAAAATACTCTTTTGAATAAATGATTACTTTTTATTTCCAATGTAACCAAAAAAAATAATAATAAATGATTACTTTTATAAAAAAATATTTATGTCTTTTCAAAATGTAATGACTAGAAGTGAGGAATGGGTGCAGAGATAGTCAGGAAGTTTGCCTATCCAACACTTGTTTTAGTCTCTGTTTGTGGTGACATAAATCTCTCTCTACAACCTATGAATTCAGAATTCTCACAAGATATACTTGGCATGAATTAGGCATTACTGAAACTTTTCCCAGGAATATGTCAAAAAAGTATAAACTAATACTAATATTATCAACTAATCAAAGCGTTATCAATTCAATCCTTCATTTCAATTAAGTACTATGTTCTTTGGAAAAAATCATTCCGGTGTCAAAAACCAATAACTAGAGCCTCAATTTAGGGCATCGCATAAAGGATTCCTATTTCATGGAAAGCATAAAAAACAAACTAGAAAATGAATGAATTCAAAGCTCTAGTTCCATCTAAAGTATTTCCAACCTACTAGGCATATAATGTATTAGTTAAAGTAACTAATATAACTTAATTTTTTTAACTCACAAGCCAATGACTCCCTCAATTTAAGGCATTGCATGAAGGATTCCTATTTCATGGAAAGCATAAAAAAGAAACTAGAAAATGAATGAATTCAAAGCTCTAGTTTGATCTAGAGCATTTCCAACCTACTAAACATATAATGTCTATTAGTTAAAATACCTAATATAACTTAATTTTTTTCAAATCCAATTGACTAGGTATATGATCATTAGGCATTTCGATTTTAACTCACATTCACTAGCTAAACGTAGATAAGACTAGGCAAAATCTATTTAACCCTTGTGATCATTTTCCTCCATATTTGTTGTTAATGTAGCATTTCATAAATTGAGTAATATTTGAATGAATAGTTAAAATAAAAAGTAAGGTTGAAGTGAAACATAAGAAAAATGAATTGGCAAAATAATATATATATATATATATATAATAGTAACTTTTAAATAAGTAAAATGCTTAATAACATTGGAGATGCTCTAAGTAACCTTGGATATCCATGATAGCATCTTCCTTAATTTTTACTGTAACTGGGCCACAGAAGCAAATATCCCTCCTTGAAGTTTATCTTCAATAGAACTGCTGTATTGTGTTACATTTTTTATGATTAGGGATGCAAATTCGGCCCAACCCGGTCCATAATTGGGCTTGGGTTTTGGTTTGGGCTGGGCAGGGCCTAACTAATTTTTTTATCAAAATAGTTTGAAAATGACATTGAGCGTTGAGCGTACCAGGTCTCGGACGAGCCTTGAAACGGTTTGAAAATGACATTGGGCGTTGAGCATACCGGGTCTCGGACGAGCCTTGAAACGGGCTGGTGGGTCAGGCCCCAAAACACAAGACCCAAGCTCAGAGTCATAGACTAAACACGGGCCTGGCCAGGCCAGGCCATTCCGAGCTGCGGATAGGCTATTGGCGGGCCACGGGCCAATTTTACACTCCTACTTGTGATCTTTCCTCCCTTTTGAATTGTACTTTCTTCATGGTTGGAATTTTTATTTTTATTTTTGGGTATATGAATTCAATGTTCTTTGCAAGTTGGGTAAAATCCTCAGTCTTGTTTGTATTGTGCAAATATATCCAAGCTAGCCCAGAGCTGATGGCTCTCTTGTATTGGTTTGAACTAACATTGGACATCCTAATCCTAGTGGCTTTTGGGAGCCAAGGAGCCAAGACTAGCAGAAATTATCATATAAATCCATAATGCAACTGAATAATATGTCTAACTAACGGTGCTTTATAATTTACTCACATTATTCTTATTTTTGTGGACCATGTAAGCACAAACAATAATTTATCCGAAATTACCATGTAAGCACATTATTTAAATTTAAACCTAACTATCAATTTTAACTTGTAGTGATAAAGATTAATCAACTACAATTAATAATAACAATGACACAATAGTTAATATGAAAAACCCAATTAAAAAAAATCTCTAAACGGGAGAAAAAATAGAAGAAAAAAAAATCACGATGCCAATGCTCAATAAAAATCTACTATAATGAATCAAGAGTACAAGACATACATGAAGGACTTACAACCACTCGCCTAGCTTTACCGATCTCCCCTGTCTTGACGAAACTTCTACGAATGCAGCTTAACCCCATCAGCCTTCTTGATCTATAGGACACCATGAAGCTCCATCGATCATCAACCTCCGTTCCTGAATGACTCTGATTACCACACCAACGGCACATGACAGAACAATGCAATGCAATGATAATGAGGACTTTTTTTATAACAAAAATCACTTAGAAAATTGTCATACAAAATATGAATCAATCTCAAAATATTTTTAGTAAAAGAAAATGGTTGTACTAAAAATGAATTATGAAGAGTTTATATAAAAATTTAGAATATCATATCCAAATAAGGAATTTTCTTAGTTTCACTTGAGTAGTAGGGAAAAGGGGTGCCTGCTGTACAGCAGGCACTGCTGTGCTACTCCACCCATGGTTTTGGTTTCTTTTTTTTTTCTTAATATAATTTTTCCTTTGTTTTTTTTTATTTATTAGTGTGTGTTGTATGCATGGCACCTCCTGCTGTGCTTTAAGCACAGCAGGCACCCCGAATCCGAGTAGTAGACCTTTCCAGTGGCTGCCATTATATGTTACAAAATGTCCACTCAAGTGATGGATCGTCTGTTGATTGCCTACCGATTGCAGGCCACTGATAAAATCAGTCAAAAGGATTTGAATCACAATTGATCCGTGCAAGCGATCCATTGCTGCACATTGGGGGACTCAATTGCTTGACCAAAACCAATGAGGATTAAATACATTGATTTGAAACTTTCTCCAAAAACCTTTTGTTTAAAATAGACCTTTCCAAAATCCTTTTTCAAATACAATCTAACATGTATGCATAAATATACCTGAGCAAGTGACTGAGCGAAACTCGACTTGATTCCGATGTGATGACCCGACTGGGCGTGAACTTACAACCAACGACCCATACACAACTAAAGATCCTAAACTCCATTACTGTGTGATTTGTCACACAGAATTAGACAATCAATATAAAGAATTAAACAAAAGAAAAGAATCAATAAAACAAACAAAATGATTGATAGCCATTTGGTCCGAAACAGTTCTAAGATTTTCTGGTTTTTAAATTTTGAATTCATTTGTTGTATCTACAAACATGGGTTGTAATCTTACGCAGATTGTGTCTGTTCAAACCCTTTAAAATGGTTTCAACATAAACTAAAAGGTCTTGCAAAATAAAAATATACAAGTAGTTCTGCTTTTTCAATATTCATTGAGAAACTCTCTCAATGGAAAAATAAGTATGAAATTTTCATTAGTTTTCTAATGAATATTAAAAAAGTATTTATAAGATATTTTCTCTAAAAACATTATTTATTCATTGGCGCTAATAATAAAGGCTTAATCAGAATTTATTGTCCCAAAGCCCCCAATAATAAACGACATATAGTTGTTTTAATTACAAGAATAACTATGCCAGGGCGAAAAAACAAAAACAAAAAACCAGGGCAATGAATGAGCAAACCCCATTGCAGAGACACCCATGAATGAATGAACCAGCAGAGTGAATGCCGCCAGTTGAGTGAATGCCAGCAAAATTGTAACTCGCATATGTAACTTGTGTAGGACAATCTTCACTGTATTTAAAAGGATTTAATTCTGTTGTGTACAAAACAACAACAAGAATAAAAGAAATAGAGTAAAGGAGAGAATATGTTTGATTACAAAAATCAAACTCGAAATAAAAAAAAAATAAATAAATAAAAACCAAAACAGATTTTATTTTGTTACAAAAACAAAATTAAAATCTGAATAAATAAACAAATAAAAACAACACTGAAAGTAATTAAATAACTTACTTGATTTAATTTCTTCGAATTATTTTTCTGATCAAGTCCAGTGTTTAACACTGTCTCCTTAAGACAGATTCGTCCTCTCCACGGTGCTTTCAGAAGTTTGACGATCTGATCTCCCAGGATGAAATGATCTACCCACAAACAATAGCAGCACTACAAATTGTTTGCCTTACGAACACACTAAGTGCTTACACTCTTTCTTTCGGAAATAAAATGCAGCAAGATGAAGAATATAATAGCAGAAGTGAAATACGAAATTTCTGAATGCAACAATCAAATGAGGGTGGTCCTATTTATAGATGTGAAGGTGGCTCTTCATTTTGAATTAAACAGGTATGTAGCTCTTGGTTTGAATTGAACAGGTATCATACCTGTTGGGTTTTGAATTCAAACAGATTTGAATCAATTCAAACAGATAGTAAAACGGAAGGCCCTGTTTGGGGTGCATTAATTCCAAAACAGTTTATTTCTGTTTGAAACCGGGAAGGCCCTGTTTGGGTGTGCACTAATTCCAAAACAGTTTATTTCTGTTTGAAACCGGGAAGGGCCCTGTTTGGATGAACAAATAAAATCCACATTTAATTTGAATTCTGGATTTTATTTTAATAAAAAATAAAATTAAATTCAAATGTTTTTGGCCCAACCCAACCACGCACAAGCCCAGCCCAGCCCGCCCGACCGGCGGCGGCGGCGCGCGTGTGGTGTTTTTTTGGGTCCAATGGGTCTAGCCCATTTTGTCCATAACCTCTCCCTCTAAAACACTTGGGTACCCCTTGGGGCACACCCCAAGTATCTCACCCTAAGCCTTATAAACCCTTTCAAAACTTCCCACCAAATCAATGTGGGACAAGCCAATTTACCACCTTAAGGAATTTCCACCAAAACTCCATTTTCATGGTGCACACTTTGGCTTCAATTTCCCATTCACTCGGTAATGGTTTTGAGCAACCAAATATACCACGTGAATCACAACGCGGCATAGAACGCGTTACCACTTTGACCCGAGTAAATCGACACTCGGGGCCCACCTAAAAAATAGACCAAACTTGAGGAAAAAATTAACCATTTCCAACAACTTGCAGTAATGAAACTTTGATGTCTGAAATTGCAACTGTCAAAAGAAAAATGTGCAAGGAAAAAAAAAACCTCTCAACTTACCCACTAACCAATCCATGACACACATACACAGGCACAAAAACAGTAAATAGAAGATCCCTAAAAAACTAGGAGGGAAAAAAAAATATTTCAAAGATTTATCAGTTTCCTGGTCATCACAAGTTACCCTATTGAAACACCAAATATCTCTACTCTTTCAAATTCCAAAGCTACCGACTCACCAAACACTGAATAACAATAACATAGGCATTTAATAAAATGGTTACATGCAAAACTAATAAAACAGTCATACAGTTTTTTCATTTGTTATCAAGCAAAGCAATATACTAATGATTGAGTGAATCAAAGACTTTAACTAGTCCTTGAGCAATCATCCAACATCAAATTACATGATTCAGTTTGAACCATAATAGCATTTTAATATCATCAGCATTTCAACTTTAACTAATGCACATTGACTCATTTGCATTCAATAATAGTATAATTTTGTAAACCAAGCTACACAATTTAAAAACCCCACCTCTAGAATAAAATCTAACCATTCTGCATATAATCTACAATGCAAGGCAACTTAGTCTCCAGCTGAAGGTTTTATAACTATAACTAGGAACCAAAAGGGACAAAATAGTAAGGCAAAGCACCAATCTATCTGTCTGCTATAAAGACCAATTTTTTCATCTTCTAACCTAAATCATCACACGACACGAAATGATCACACAAATAACTCGTCCAACAGCCTCTAGTTTTCTGAATCAGAACAATGAGATCAAGCTAAAATATAAACATTTGTGCAAAAATTTCATGGACCTACAAAAGGAGACCTGGATGATTGTTCAACACTGAACTAAAAGGGCTGACTTACGAACATTGATTAAATTCAAACCAATTAACTTAGGGATAAGAAGACTAAAAGCTTATCCTACATCATATACCATTGCTTGAAGCTCACTCCCTGAAAAGCCTCCTACAGGTCATCACCTGTTCTTCATGCTTAGTCTAGAAGAGAAATCCACAGAAAAAATTCAATAAAGCAAAACGAAAACATCACAACAGAAATATAATATTAAAATAGAAATATTACTAGAAAGCAGTTTAAATTTCATAAGAGTTTTTACATAAGCAGCAAATATATCAAGAAATATTAGAGAATATCAAACTACACTAAAAGCGTTTGGATTTGAAAATGCAGCAGCAACCACAAAGAGCTGGGTCAAGATCCTTTCAGGTATTCATTCTGCGGAACCTTCAGTAGCTCAACCAACATCACAAAATCTCCTACTCAGATGAACATGGTCAACTCAGGCCTACTAAATACGTTATGTTCCTCATCCTCCAACACAGGATAAGCAGCCACAAGTGCATCTTGAGCACCAATATACAGCGAGTTATAGATCTTCCAATACACTTCCCTAACCTTCCTTGCTGGGTGGAAAAGTCCCTGAAGACAGTAGTTAAGCACCACAGCCGCACCCAGTGCCACCCTCATTCCTTCAATGGCTTCCATAACAGCATTTATAACATGTGGGGATGTTTCAAAGATGTTTGGCCAAATATAGTTCAGTAAGTGAACCAAAGCATCCTCACATCCCAACCCAGCAACTCCTAAAGCCATGTGCTTCACAGCAGAAGCAGCAGTCTGCCTATGAACCAAATCTCTGTCCATGAGAGCATCCTCTAGCAATGGAGTCACTGCATAAATGTAATCCTTTCCCATTTCACCAATGTACTCGAATAGAAACGAGAGGGACTTCAGAACACCATTCTGAACATTAAGCTCTGGCACACGACATTCATTCATCAAGGCTGGTAAAACTGTAAAAGGAGAACATGTTTCTGCGACAATTGCAATTTCCACAGTAGTGCAAACACGATTTTGACGCTCCTGCACCTTGAGGTTGTTCAATAATGTTGCCAGAACGTCTTGTGGCTCAATGGCTTTGGCAATGTACCCGAATGTATTCACTGTAGCTCTATGGATACCCTTCTTGTGTGCTTTAAGCATCTCCAGGAGTTCAAAACAGATCCTCATCCACTCTCTTGCTGGTACAAACTCAGCACCACGGTCAGCAATACGACCGACAAGGTCAATACAGTTCTCCTGTACTTTCTCATGACGATTCTTGTGTTGTGTTAAAATAGATGATTTGGTTGTTGAGATGAGATTTGGAAGGAGATGGGGTTTTGTCCTAAAATGTTCAAGTAATTATTTTGCATAACTAATGAAATTGGAAATGGGAATATGAAATTAGATGAATGTTTATATAAATGGTGAAGTTGGATGTGTATCATCTCTCACCTATGGAAATTTGAATAATTTATATGTTGAGAAAATTGTATATCTGTTTAGAAATATCTGTTTTTGGTTATCGGTGGAGGACAATTGTGATTGTTGTAGAAATTGCATGAGGATTAGATGAATTGAAACTAATCTCTTATTGATTGTCATTGAATATGACTGTGTTTAATACATTGTATGTGTATGATGTTTGGAGGAGAAAGATGATGGACTCCATTGAACTAAGTTGGCCTGTGCGTCCAGGATGAAAGTCCTGAAAACATTATATATACATGGGTGTCGATTCCCACTAGCAATTTGAAGTGTTTATGTGTAACGGTTGTGTGGTAAGAAAACCACTGAGTTTTAATCTCAGTTAGGTTGTCTGGATAACAATGGATATGACTCATGAATTGAGGAGATTTGAAATGACACGAAACAAATTGATATGATATGGGTTTGGGAAGAAAAGTTGTAAATGATTCTTATTTTGAACATTGTCCAGGTGCATCATGTTTATAACCTTATTAAAGTTCATATATTATGCTAGACTGTTTTTGCTGGGCTTTGGCTCGCCCTATTTGGAAAAAATCATTTTCAGGTGCCGGTGATATGCCTTCGCCAAGGTAATAGCTTGGAGGGATTGGGAGCAAGAACTTCTATTTTGTTAGATCTGTTTTTGTATAGCCAAGGGCTTTGTATTGTGTTGAGCTAGGCTCACTTTTGTTGTAACCAAGAACTATCTTGGAAAGATGTAAGCCCGTAGGGCATTTATTTCGTTGATCATTTAGTTTGGTGTCACATGCTATAGATTCATGGTAGAGCTTATGAATGTGTAATGCATGTGCCTTTTTGTAAATGAACTCTGATTAATGAAAGCCAAATACTCTGTTTATGTCATTTTTGTATTAGTCTTTACTGTTGAATCATTGTATTATTTTTGGGGGTGTGACAACTTGGTATCAGAGTGTACCAAGTTTGAATACTTTGGGTACATGGAAAGTGGTTAGTACCCCAATGGGTTTGTCTCGCTTGTTAGAGACTTAAGTACGAACGATATGTAC